ACATGACTGAAGTTTGAGGAGTACAATAAAATTAACAGCAGTGGTAATAAAGTAAACTGAATAATCCTGCAAAAATAAATTGGTAGATCAAAAAGAGAGAAGTAAGAGATACTTGAGTCACTTCTGGGTCAGATCTAGAGAAAAGCTTTCAAGGTCTCTACAGGGTCATTATAAAGAAAAAAAGATTGTTTTTTTTTAACATCTTTATTGGGGTATAATTGCTTTACAATGGTGTGTTAGTTTCTGCTTTATAACAAAGTGAATCAGTTATACATGTACATATGTTCCCATATCTCTTCCCTCTTGCGTCTCCCTCCCTCCCACCCTCCCTATCCCACCCCTCCAGGCGGTCACAAAGCACAAAAAAAAAGACAATGTGAAATAGGTATGATCCTAAAATAAATACTCAGAATCAAGAAATACTCATTTATAATTTTAAATACTTTATGTTGAGATGAATCATGGCTTTGTTTCAATTGTATATAAACAGTTTACTAAAAAATTTAAAAGTTCTTTGAAAAACCCTGTTTTCCTTTTTATTTGCGTCTCACATATTAAGAAGTTCGTCATTTTCTTGCCCTTCTTAATTCCTCTTTTCTCCCCTCCCTCTTTTTTCCTGAATGCAAAATACATGTGTTAAAACATTAATGATTTTTAAATAGAAAGTGTGAAGTGTCAAGCAATTCTCTTAGAAGATTCCAGAATACACAGGAGAAGGTTTTAGCAGAACTGGCATCATGCCCAGTCCCATGGCTCAAAGACAATTTTAGATGCCCCAGGATCAATGGTTTCTGTGGTCTCCAGTGGATGTATCCACACCGGGGAATGTATGAAACTTATTTTGCTTCACATAAACCTCAGAAGATTTTGCGCCAGTTATAAAACAATTTTAGGAATGTCCTAAATACAAGTGACTACAGAATTACTCGGATGGCCTGAATATCGGAAATCCTTGTGACCTTCATGTGTCCTCAACTCTCTGAAGCTAGGTTTACTCATTCTGTTTTCATGGCAGGAGTCTTTTTAGCCAACGTAAAGCACTGGAAACAATGATCATTGCTGATGCTCTACCACACAGTTGCAAAGTATATTAAAAGTGCAACCCGTGCTCCATCATGTGCAAGGTTATTTGTGATGACTATTAAGTGCATAGTAAAATGTACGTGGCTTAAAATGTGTCACATTGTAACAATCAGCCTTCTGATATTTGTATCATATATATAAAATAGAGTACATGCCTGTCAGCACGTAAGGATCCTAGGAACTTTGTACCTAGAGTGAAAGTAGGCACAAAACTGCCATGATATCACGGACAAGATATTTCAGCAATGTGGGACTTAGCGATGGAGGATCTGAATTCAAGACCCAGCTTTCTCACTTACTACTTTTGTGACCTTGGCCAGTCACTTAACCTCTCTGAGCCTTGGTTCCATTGTTTGAAAATGGTGGTATTACCTCCTATTTCAGTGGGTTGTTGTGGATTTTGTCATTTGTTCATATTCTATGTTATTCCACAAAGGATTTGAAATGAAACGTGTATATTTGGAGATAAAATGCATTTGCCAGTGCTTTGTAGATTATACAAATATAAGCTACCTGCCATTACTATTGGGGCCATTTAAATTCCTGGGGAGCTCTATCCTTAGAATGAGAGTGCTTCTAAGCAGATGTTCCAGAGACTTCCATTTAATAATTTCCAATAAACAAATATTTATCTATGTGTTACATAGACTGGTTACAGATGCCAATTTAAAATAAACCTGCAAGGAAAGAAGACCGTCCACGACCTTTTGATTGAAGACCATTTGCAATTAATAAAAATATCAGATTCTCACTCACTTAGTGCTTATTTCTCATTAATACATAATTGAAAAGACTACGTATAATGACAAAAAGCTCTTAAGGATTAAGTAACTTTTCCCAATACATTCGTATCTTGTCAATCATAAAAAATATATATACACAACATTTGAGAAAGATTACAACTCATAGGTGTGAGTCATTTTTTTTTCAGCTTAAAGACAATGCTTTTGTTGCACTTAGAATTGGTGGATACCTCGCAATTACACAGGGGCTTTGAAATGTCAGTGGCCTACCAGTTCCTGTAATTCCTTTTATTATCATGTGCCATTTGCCTTAATCTTGGATTACTAACTGTGTTTATCTGCCCTCTGCATCTAAAGCCTCCAGAAAGATTGCTCTGGCATGCCCTAATAGCTCTTATCAGCTCACCCAGTGGCCCTTAAACTTTGCTGCTTGAAATCCAGGAGTTACCCACACAGTGCCAAGCCCTTCTGAACAAGTCGACTGATTTCCTCGGTGTAAATGATTGCTGTTTATGTTAAGGCAGCCACAAACCCTTCTTCCCTTTGTTAAAGTGAAATGGAACCTTAAGGCTTAATTTTACCTAGGGAGGAATTACTGGGTTTGCTGTGAATTGCTGCAAGGTTAGACCCCTTTTCTCTTTTATCCTATATTTTAAGCTCCTTTGATTTTTTCTTCCTCTAGTATCTACATAGTGTACTTGGCTGATAGTAAAACTGTAAATAATCTGTTTCATTTTGTCTGATAAGTATGCTTACTTTTCTTCCTTTTCTATAACAGCTGTCTAGGGAAGTTTATTCAGTGTGCCTCTGTGGTTTTTTAAATTCAAAATAAACTAGTATTTCCAAAATATTGAAACTTTTGAAAACATTCACTTGACATTATAGTTCGTATCACACAGAAAAATTATGAAAATCATGGAATAAGTCTTTCCCCCTCCTTCATACTACACAAAACTGTATTTTCAGTGAATACATGAGGAATACAGCCTTGATAAGAGCTTTCCGATAAACATTATATTCAATAATTATAATTTCACTGAAAAGTAATAGTTAAGAGTTTGAGGACCCACAATATGCAAAGTAGCTAATAAAAGGGTGGGTACAGTAGCAGCATCTGCTGTTTTTTGTTATTGACAAGCTGAGGAAGAACAAAAGGAAAACTAACCTGGAAGTTTCAAATGTTTTGAAGGTCCCTTCTGCTAAACTCAGTTTAGAAATCCTCCCTCAGAAAGACCATAATCTCCGGGCAGGAGACACAGGCTGCCTTGAAAGAGCTGGGCTGGGAGGCTAGATTCTATGCCGCCCGGGGCCACAGTCACATTTCAGAGTGACTCCTCTGTGCTCTTTGATAGCATCATGTGACGTGACAGTACTACCTGTCCTGGACAGGTTAGGTGACTTCACCACGCTGAACAATAAATCACCTCACTTTTTATTAGCAGAGCCTTTTGCGTTTCTTAGTCCTACTCTTGTGAGATCTCTAGAGAGCGTCTTTCTCCCTCTCTTTCTCTCTGCTTCTCTCTCCACAGAAAGAACTCAGAACCCCATTTGGCGTGTTATAAGAGCTGAAGGATTCAAGTTTAAAATATTGATAATACAGTGAGTGGTTGAAAAGCTGCCTTTATCTTTAATATGCCTTATGCCACTTAGCCCTCTGTATTTAATTGGCCCAGTGATTTCCTTTGCTTACATTTAGCATTTATCAATCACAAGCAGCAATGCGTGGTACGGCATGAACAGAAAATTCCACAGGACCCTCTTCACACTCGGGAAGGGGAACATCTGCTCCTTTTCTAGTAGGATGCCAGGATTTTAGAGGTCAATGTGTTTCCCCATCAAGGCTTAAGGCTTTGGGGACCAGGGGAAGTGTCGGGCTCCAAGCAGCATAATGAATGGCAGTTGCTGACTGGCTGGGGTTGCCTGTTCTCAACAGGGGATAGAGAATTCAGCGCAATGAGCTGGGGCTTAGTGTGCTCAACACACCCAGCTTGGGGAGTGAGGCAGGCTGTGCCTTTTTTTTTTTTTTTTCCCGGTTCGGCCCTGTTTTTTCATCTTGGAAGAAATTATATGGAGGTCTTCATTAGTGGCACCCAGCAGGGTTAAGGCTCCATGAAGGCTGATAAGCTCTATGGCTAAAATAAAAAAAAAAAAAAAAAACAAAAAAACCCACAAAACCCATCAGCCTTTGTGCAAGGAGCCGAAGGTTTAAGTTGCTTGAACTGGAAACAGTCTGAAGAGGTGATTATGTTAAGCAAGTAATGTGTATCGGTAACATGGAGTCAAATTATGAGGGTCAGTAACTTCCTGGCTTTCCCAGTGCATTAAATGAAGACATAACATTGTATTTGTGCCGGCTACTTCTTGATGCCACATAGTGTCAGCACCGTCCGGTCATATGTACTTTACAGCATGTCACCTCTAATTTCATGGGATTATCTGTGCTGTTGCTTTAATAGATACTCATGATCTTGAGCTCCCTTTGAACTCACAGCAGGGCAGTGCAAAGGCATTATTGGGAGCACTTCTGGGCTTTTTGTGTTATGTACAAAATTATTATTACTGTCATTTAGAAAGGTAGATATATGTTGCTGTCATGCTTCCAAAAGTGTACACGTATTTGACGGCAAGGGAAATTACTGAAGGGGAAAACACTGAATGTGAAAGATCTTTTGGGAAACTAGTATTAGAAAGGTGTCAAGGCAAGTGAGTCAGTATTTGAAAGGCATATATGTAGGACAGTGGATCTCAGAGTGTGGTCCCCTGGCCAGCAGCATCAGAATTACCCAGGAACTTGCTAAAGATGCAAATCCTCCTGAATCAGGAACTCCTGAGGTGGGCTCAGCAATCTGTGTTTTAACGAGCCTTCCGGGTGATGCATGCTCAAGTTTGTGAAACCCTGCCCTAGGATTTATGGAGCACAAGAATCGGACAGACCCATATGTTCTGGGGTAGAGCAGTAGACAAGACAAATGTTGTACCTCCCCTTATGGACTTTATTAAATTACAAAGGAATATGTGGTACTTTACCCTGATGAAATGTTTATACATACCCAACAGAGCCTGTAGTTATCCATACCATTTTGTTCTTTGTTTGAATGAGCCTGTTATCTTCTTTGCTTGCAGAGAAATGACTAACAAAAGATGACTGATAAGTGATTCCTTTGTGCATTTCAGAACCATCCCCCTTGCGATATGTATATCCATGGCCGTGGTCACCATTGGCTATGTGCTAACAAATGTGGCCTACTTTACGACCATTAGTGCCGAGGAGCTGTTGCTTTCAAAGGCAGTGGCAGTGGTAAGTTTAAGTTGGGAAAATGCCAGTTTGAATTTAGGTTAATGAAATGATGCAATTTTATAGTAGTTCCCTCCAGCAGAAAGTGCTTTGAAATCCATTAATTTTTTTTAACTGGATGATAATGAATATTTAAAAAATTTAGAACATACCTTAGCATATTCCATTTAACTGATACAGCTACACTCCTATGTGATTGTACTGTTAATTTCATGTAAAACATTTCCACATATGCCTGCTTGAAAACATATTTCCACACATACATGTTGAATAGAAATCATTATTCTTCCAACATGTCTTTAAAGACAGGTGGGCAGTTACTGAGTTTAAATGAATGCATTTTGGGGTATGCAAATTGCAATTTATTCTGTACTCCTCCCTGTTTAGACGCTTTTCAAATGCTAACTTAAAATCTTTTTTTCCAAAGTACCACTTTAGAATTTCCAAATGGACCACATAACATTTTTTTTCTAGTATATATTATCATTTTGAATACAAGTTCTAGGATATTATTAATTTGAGGAAATACTGAGTTATTCAAAGTTAAACAGATGTCATTGCTATAGTCCTTCTCAGAATGTTAGAGAAGTTAATGTGCATTTTAACTCCCTAAGATGTGGATACTCATAATTTTACAGCATTTTCCAAAATTTATTTGACTTCCGGAGCATCTTTTGCTTTCAAAGGTCATGTTATGGGACTGCTATTCTGTGACACAGACTTTTTGGTATAAAAACTTAGCTAGTAAGAGGGCACTCATTCATGACCTTATAACAATGAAGGGTAAAAAAAAAAAGAACTTCCCATCACTAGATGTCAGTTCCTTTTAAAATAGTCACTATTACCTCATATCAGAAACATCCACAGGGAACAAATTATCTCATTTCATGTGAACCTATGTACGAGTTCACTGTGACTGTCCACTGCTGTAACTTCTACCAGACAACCAAATGCACAGAGCTTCCTGATGTCAGGTCGTCATCTCATCTTACTAGACAAAGGGCAGCACTTAGTCTTTGAGCGTAATGTGGTCCATTAATTACATAGCACCGGCTGCATCAAGGACAAGTAAAGAATCCCACATTTTTTTTTTTTTTTTTTGGAAAATACATCCTTCATGAAAATTTGCAATGTTGCACATGCCATGGAACAAAAGGAAATGTCAGAAGTTTTGTTTAACTTTTATATTTTCTGTAGCTTGATTTCCTTGGACTTGTGTTGGTGTTCTAGCCTTTTAATAGGAAACTACAGAAGGAATTGGCAGATAACTGAAAGGGCGGGATGGACTTCATAAACAGAGATTCAGCTGATGTGATTATTCTGGGCAAAAGATTTTCAGAACTGTTCATATCCATAATATACATGATTAAGTCCTCAATTATTTTTTGCCACGCTTTTAAGTCATAACAGTGGGATTGGTATATGAAACCATAACAGTTGGTATATGAAACCATAACAGTGGGATTGGTATATGATTGGTATCTGCAACACTTCTCAGTGTACCTTTGTACTTTGGTATAAAAATGTGGCTTTCCAGACGAAAGACAAGGTATTATATACAGAAGGATTTCTGTCTCTAAAAGGAGAACTTCTGTACTGAGTTTTTTTTATTTACCAGAGTCAGAGACAATAGATATCATAGTTGATAAAGATTTGATAAAGATTTGATAAAGATTTGATCAATGGATCATTGCTCTTTGGAAGTAGAGGGAAGGTGCTTGTTTAGACTATTGCCCATAATTCTGCAACAAGCAAGGACATGGTACCTGCCTTTGATTATTATTCTAAGTTATTAGTTATTAGTCTGACCCTAACCCAAAAAAAGGATTATAAAGCACACACATATCACCAGGTGAACAGAAAGTCCTAGAGCGAGTTTGGCTTAAATTGTTTCATTTTATTCCACTTTCTGGCAGAGCATTAATTTGCTTCCTTCTGTCTTTCACTAGACTTTTTCTGAGCGGCTCCTGGGAAATTTCTCAGTAGCAGTTCCAATCTTTGTTGCCCTCTCCTGCTTTGGTTCCATGAATGGTGGTGTGTTTGCTGTCTCCAGGTGAGTGAGTTCAAGCATTTCTAGAAACGCATTTCTGTGTTTGAGATGGGATGTGATAAGGATAAGTTTAAAAAGAAAAGAAATAGTGCCTCTAAACCTGCTGTTTTTGAAACGCAAGATTGAAATCTTTCTCCAAGTATCAGCAGCATGTTCTATTCTGTCCACTAGAGGGCACTGCTTGTCTACTCATAGCCTACTCTGAAGCCAGGGATGAAGGGGGTTTTTGTTCTTGTTTTAACAGTATGTCTACAGAGTTTAACAACAGCATTTTATTTCTGGCAATAAAATCTTTTGTTTCTCTAAAGGTGACAAGCAAAAAAGTAAAGTAAGAGACACCAGACATCACCATCCCACCATGTGTATCCCTTTTGTTTGATGCAGAAGTCCCTTTTGTTTTAATTTGATGAAAACCCAATCAGATAAATGTGAATGTTGTGTGTGTGTGTGTGTGTGTGTGTGTGTGTGTGTGTGTGTGTTGAGTTGGACTGGATTGATAACACACGAACAGTATTAGAAATCTAGAACTAAATTCACCCCCAGCTATTTATGTGTGGGGTGAGTTATGCTGAGTCAGATGGTGCTACCGTTTCTCCTCAAAGGAACATAACGTTTTGGCAGATTTTATAAAATTCGAAGTAATCACCTAAGAAACGTCAAACCATTTGGTATGAAGAAGGTACAAGTTTTCTCTTCGATTTCTGGATTTTTTTTCCCTTGGAAATGATTAATGATACATTTTTCTCCTGTCAGGTTATTCTACGTTGCATCTCGGGAGGGTCACCTTCCGGAAATCCTCTCCATGATTCACATCCGCAAGCACACTCCTCTGCCAGCTGTTATTGTTTTGGTAATGCACAGTAACTTGTGTATCTAGATGTAACCTCAAAGAACAGCTTAGCAAAGAGGATTTCAAACTTGACTCCAGCTCGTGCTTTCTGTGCTCATTCATTGCTAAATTGGCTCTATGTGTATCCTGGTGGATTTGCAGAGGCAGGATATTTTCCATCGCTTCCCCTCATCCAGTATATCTGATGCATATTTGATGCTTTGGAGCAATAACACGTCACTTCTTTTTCATCTTTGTAGACATCTGTGAGATCAAAGGGAAATGATTGCCTGGGCTCCTGTCACCCACAGAGAGCCTCGCAGAAAAGGAGGTCGAGTAATAAGTCCCAATTCTACTTATTGAAAGTGGAGCTAAAAGCTACAGTCCCCAAACGCCCAGATGTCTCATCAGAGGCCCCTTATCATGAAATGCATACAAAATTATAGAAAAAGTTGGCAGAATCCTAGACAGTGCAGGGATTCTGTGCTTGAAAGTGAGAATTTTGAGAGCAACCCTAAATGGGAGAAATAAAAGCACCAAAACTTAAATTTGAGCTGTACAATTCTTTATGCAGAGAAAAGTATTTGTGAAACATGGGATATGAAAGACTGTGTAAGGTGCAGAAGTCCTCAGATCCCCATTGGCAATGTTATATTCCTTTTTACCTACTATTTTTTCCCAATAACGTTTCCAAAACCCAAAAACATTTCCCAGAAATGTTTCCCAGTAACATTTTTCCCCAATCTCCTGCTGTCAGGCGCACCACAGAATTCACTGAACACTTTTGTACCCCCATCTCCACCCCCCCATGGGTTTCATTTGTTTCAAAATGTTTCCTTGAAATTTCTTTGTAAAGTCCGGTGGGCGGGTGGGGTACTCTGTGTGGATTCTGGAAATTTACTTCAGTTGTGGGAACAGAATGTATTATTTTGTGGGAACAGAATATATTATTGGTGAAGAGGGCTTTCATTTTAAGCCTGCGTTATCAGTCATGCTGTCCTTGGTCTGTGCAGCTGTAGAGACTTGCTATGCTGAACTCTGCGCTCCATTCTTTTCTGCGGTCATGAGGGTCGAGGGTCACATGTGTCGAGCACCCAGGGAGAGGAAGTGTGGAGGAAGGAAAGGTCAACGTTTTGCACTCAGGAGAGGACACAGTCTCTAGAGGTGGCTGTCTTTCCTGTGTATGCATAGCCGGGGGCTCATCAGACACCATTCGCAGAGCTTTCTGCAAATGTGTGTATTGGATGTGCTTTTGACTTTTACTGTTAGTTATTTACCGACCATCTCAGTCTCTGGGTCTTTAAATTTTGAGTCATTGAGTGTCCTGTGTTTTGCTCTTTGAAAGCACGTTCTCTTAACTCAAATGAAAAACAGCTAAAAATAATGCATCCATATGTGTGTGTGTAAAGAGAGCAGAAAAGCTGGATATATAGCTAGGAGGTTAGTTGAGTATAGGTGTTAAGCGCAATGGTCGTTTATCAGTAGAAAGAATCGTTTGGAAAAGATAATAATAATGTGCAGTGATGGTATTGCTTGTTATCACGTGTATTCTCTTTTAACTCACTGTGCATGATTTTTCTCTCCCTTCCACCCCCACCCCAGCACCCTTTGACAATGGTAATGCTCTTCTCTGGGGACCTCGACAGTCTTTTGAATTTCCTCAGTTTTGCCAGGTGGCTTTTTATTGGGCTGGCGGTTGCTGGGCTGATTTATCTTCGATACAAACGCCCAGATATGCATCGTCCTTTCAAGGTAACCTCAGCAATCTTGATGGGTTTACATAAATCTTCCTCCTAATGCCTGATCCTCCCTTTGTCATAAGTTGATGATGAAGAGCTTGGGCAGAGGGGCAGAATCCTCTGGAATAAAATGTTTAACCCTTGCAGGTCACGCCTTCATATGGGATTTATTTTACTTTGGAAAAATAGTTCATCGGCTTGTTTGTGATGTACTGAACTTTGTAGGTCACATTGTTGAAAAGTGGGGATATTAATGTACAATGTTTGTTATATTGATTTTTCATGAATGTGTCTAATGACCTGATATGTTCAAAATATAGATGCTTCTTTTTTTTATGCTGAATAGTTGTGGACAACCATACTGAGAGTGAGGCCGATATGTATGAAATCATCACTAATTAAAACTTTAAAAAGGACGCTGCTTTACAAAAAGGCATTTTAAGTGTTCTTAAATGTTATGACTTGTTATATTGCCCCTTTTCTGCATTGTACACTCCAGAAGGAGTAGAAATGTGAAATACATAGGGAAAGTGAAGATGTGTGAATATACCACTTAATAGAATGTCCATTTACCATAGCTAAGTGTTTCCTTTTGGGAGGGCTGACGCATATGCCTCTAGCCTTGAAAGTTCATGGACTGATTTGTCTTTACTCTGTATTTGCTTTTAAGAAATAACACAGATAATGTTGTCCGTCATGTTGTCAGAATTTGTTTCTAATTATATTCATTGCCTAATGCCGGCAACATCTTTATTAGTGGTTGAATAGGAGTTGGCCTGTTTTATCCCTGTCAGTTCTTATTGTGAATCTCCAGCAGAAAATCAATATGCACTGAAAGGCTTTTACATGTAACAAGCAGCCCGTGCTCTTGGCTCTACATTAAAGTGGATTCTAATCATAATTATCAAAGAACCAATCTTTTACAATCAAAAACATAACTCGTAAAACATAGTGCTTAACTAGTAAAATAATTCAAACAGAACATCTCTAATGAAACACACTTATTTATCCTTAGATTTTGTTCTACCCAAAGTTGTTGTTGTTGTTTTTTTTTAAATTTAAAGGAGTGTGTTTAATATAGTCTCTGTGCCCTATGCAAGAGATTTTGGCATGAAGGTATGGTAGGATGGTGCCTGTCATTTGGTCATGCGATCAAGGTGTATCACCTGATCACGTGACTATTGTGCTCATCTTGAATCCACCTTCTGTCTCTTGAACCACCCTTGAAGTGATTTTCTTCTGTGCTCTGTTCCAGGTGCCGCTATTCATCCCAGCTTTGTTTTCCTTCACGTGTCTCTTCATGGTCGCCCTTTCCCTTTATTCAGACCCATTTAGTACAGGGATTGGCTTCATCATCACTCTGACCGGGGTCCCTGCCTACTATCTCTTTATTATATGGGACAAGAAACCCAGGTGGTTTAGAAGAATGTCAGGTAAGACTTTTAAGCAGTTTTGGGACCTATTGAGAGACCATGTTGTAGAAAACCCATCTATGTGTACCTGTATAACATGCATACATTAAAGTGTGAAAATATAAGTGGGGAAATTGCTAGTTTGAATACATTACTGTATTCTAATAAGAACTGGCAGAAGAAAAGGCAGGAAGGGTGTTGAGGGTAGAGCCACTGAATCCTTTCAGGATATTGAGTTCCAGTTGCTTTAATCACTTCTTAGGAGAACAAATTTTTAGATAGAATTTTATCAGCAGTTCTGTAAACGACCTAATTGTTCTTCTGAATCGCTTACTAACTTAATTGTTTTTATCCTGGGTTGAACATAGTTTATTGATTCTGTATGATAACATATTACTTAACGAGTGATATGAGATTTGGTGGGGAGTTAGGTAGAGCCTGCAAAGGGCTTAAATATCATTATTATAGCACTGCCCTATTGATGAATCATGGAGGGTCATAAGAACAGCAAGAATGATCAAGAGGTGCCTTCCCCGGTGGTCCAGTGGTTAAGACTCCACGTTCCGGGTTTCCCTGGTGGCGCAGTGGTTGAGAGTCCGCCTGCCGATGCAGGGGACGCGGGTTCGTGCCCCGGTCCGGGAAGATCCCACATGCCGCGGAGAGGCTGGGCCCGTGAGCCATGGCCGCTGAGCCTGCGCGTCCGGAACCTGTGCTCCACAACGGGAGAGGCCGCAACAGTGAGAGGCCCGCGTACCGCAAAAAAAAAAAAGACTCCGCGTTCCCAATGCAGGCTGCCCAGGTTAGATCCCTGGTCAGGCAACTAAGATCCCGCATGCCACAACTAAGACCCGGTGCAGCCAAATAAATAAATATTAAAAAAAAAAAAAAAGAATCAAGGGAAGAAACTTGATAATTACTAAGTGATTTCTATGTGTTAGCACATATATAACCTTGTTTAATTCTTATAACAACTTTGTGAGGCAGGAAAAATTATCCCCATTTTATAGATTTTGAGTTATGGTATGTGGGGGAATCCCATGTTCCAAGTCATGCAGATATTAAGTAGAAGACCTAGAATTCCAAATCAGGCAGTTTTGTACTTTGTAAAAGTCATCCTGGTGGAGGGGTGTGGGCAGCGAGGATGGATTCGAGAGCATGAGGCTGAAGACATTCTCAAAAATAGAGATTGGTGGTTATTGCAGTAATCCTGACAGAACTGAGGAGGGTCTGAACACAGGTGACGTTGGCAGGGGTCCAAGAGAAAGTGAAAGATATTGAAGGAGAAAAACCAACAGAGCTTGGTGACCAGGTGAGTTGGGGGAGAGGAAGATACAGTAAAATCAGTAGGTAGGGGCTTCCCTGGTGGCGCAGTGGTTGAGAGTCCGCCTGCCGATGCAGGGGACGCGGGTTCGTGCCCCGGTCCGGGAAGATCCCACGTGCCGCGGAGCGGCTGGGCCCGTGAGCCACGGCCGCTGAGCCTGCGCGTCCGGAGCCTGTGCTCCGCAGCGGGAGAGGCCACAGCAGTGAGAGGCCCTCGTACCACACACACAAAAAAAATCAGTAGGTAGGAAGGGTGCTTAGGAACAGCCTCTGTCAAAAGCCTCACCCTCTGTCAGGGGCTCTGCCAGTGAAGCTCTTTTCCTCACATCATCATCTCATTCTATCCTCCACAAGATCCACGTGTGAACTGGTTGATATCTATACCCAGATGGGAAAACCAGGGTGCAGGGAGATGGAGAATTTAAGTGTATAGATTTTAAACCATGGAGCTGGGATTTGAACCCACATATGCTGGACTTCAAATTCACGTTCTTTTTAGATTGGGTACCTGTGGGAAGAGAGAGAGGGAGAACTTTATCCAGAGGAGCAGATGGGTTCTTGCTGGTGAGGTTGGTGAGTTTAGCAATCCCCTTTTTTTCTTTTCATTCATTTTAATTTACTTACTTTACCATCATTAATTTTTTAAAGCCCAGTAAAAAGTTCAGGGAGATTTCTGGTAAAATTATTAATGAATAATAATAATTTTCAGTGTTACTAAAAATAAAAAACAAATAACAACTTTGTGTACATATTGCATCTCTAGTGTGCTACACAAACTCATTTAGAAGCTAGTCATTTAAAATAGACTTCTGCTACTACTCTCTATTAGCTTTTAATTGGTGTTTGAGATCTTTAGACCTTACACTACTATTTATACCTGCATTTTGTTTCCTAGCTGTCAACCCTATTCCCAGAGGAAGTGTAGCTATAAAAGTTAGGTTCTTCAAGGTTTACACAGGCACACGGATTGCCTAGCAGGGTATTTAATCTCTGTGTCTTGTTAGATCACACTGGTTTTCGGTAGAGTATTTTTAGTTACGTTTTATCTGTTGTAGGCAATACGTAGAGAGCCTTTGCTGAAAAACAAATCCAAGTCTTGTTAAACAGTATTTACCATTAGGATTGCTCGTTACCAATGTTCAGGGTAGATTAGTACTCACCACTGGAGTGGGGGGGGGGGTCTGTGTCCATCTCAGATCCTGGCTAGAGACAATTAAAACCCCTGAATGCATGGAAAACCATGAGAATTTAGGAAGAAAGAGTGGGTAGCCCTAGAGTGGACTACAGTGTGAGAGACCATGATGAAAGAACAAATTCCTTGTTCTTGCCTACTTAGTAGGCATTTTGTCCTTCCTGTTTGCAGTCAGCCAACTCTAAAAATGCTTTCCTTCTGCTAACATGTGCATATTTTCTTCCATTTCTTTGCCGGTACATATCAACTACTGGTTTTCATGCCTGCTCCTTCTTTGATGTTTTTCCATGCGCATGTGGTTGTGAAGTTTTCTGTTATTTTTCTGTCTCCAATGGCGTTTTGAACATCTCCAAGGACTCTAAATGTAGTGTTAGCCGTTCGTGAAAGTAGCAGCAAGTAGCAGTCCCATAATGGTTATTTGGTTCTCAACAACGCCATTGAGTCTTTCCAGGGAGCGTGGCAATTCTGCCTTTAAACTGCGATCATTGTAACCCTTTATCTTTATAGCTGCCTTTTGAGTGAGTTTGCGAAAAGCAACAATCCTCTGTAAATTTGTTTGATTTTCCTCTTAGACAGCATTCTTATAGTAAAATAAAGAAAATTCATAATATTTATTGCGGCCGTAGCAAGTATTTTCCTAGCCTTTGGCCAAAACAAAACACTCACACACGGACACACAACACAGCAGAGTCCTGAGCCGTCACCTGTCCTCTTCTCTCAGTTGCCTCCTTGTTGTTAGGGAGAAATCAGTGTAAACTTGGAGCCAGAGAGCCTCTGCTTGGAGCAGTGTGTAGAGTTAACACCAAATTGTTCTGCTGGGGAACATTCTTTAGCGCTGGTCTGATCACTTATTTTCACCCGAGTATACCCGAACAGATCATCCCTGTGAAATGATAGTTTATCAAAATACCTCTTACCAGGGGGGCATCCATTAAAAAAACACAAGGTCACCGAACAGCGTTCAGAAAACGGAGACAGGCTGCTGAGTTTAGATAGCCAGAGAACGTTCGGAACCCAAGAAACTGAGAGTTTCAGAGACTTGATGAATTTCTTTGGCCACAGGATGCCAGTATTGAACCACGCTTCATTTGATAACATTCCTGGGATGAAAAGAAAATGTGCTCTTAAGGGAATAGTCAGACGTGCAGAGAGCTTTTTTCCCCCATCTGTGATGGAGTGCTTAATTCATCTGGATCGATTTATTTATAGAAACACAAGCTTCTCACCCAAGGAAGAGGGGACAGATACCCCACTGACATACTCAAATTCATGGGGATGCTGGAGCCGGCGAACCCCAGCCAGGGCTCCCCGCAGCCCTTTTCCTCGGCTGCCTCTGTTTATCCGTCCAACCCCATCACAGCTGGGAGTGCGTGGGGTGACTGGAAGTTGGTCCCTCCGGCTCCGGGCGAGTTGTGGAGGACAGCTGTGTTTAAACAAAATCTTTAGTTATAAAGAATCATACCGGGCAGCACCACAGAATGACTGTTGTCCGTCGTGGACACAGATTTTGCAAAACCAGAATTCTAAAAGCATGTTCTGCATACAGTGTGTTGTGATCAGTTTGTTTATGATGCTTCACTGAAAGCTGCTGCATGCATTTGACAGACTCTTCACGAAGACTGAGGTGCGATGTTTTACATGAGTTAAGCTTGCCTGCTTTTCTTACCAAACCATCTTCACTGTAAGGGTCAAATGGGGCCATGCACGTGAAAAGGTTTTGAAGGCTTTTCAAAAAAAAAAAAAAAAAAAAAAAAAAAATAGACACTGTTGTTATGATTTCTGGGGAAGCTTGGTTTTGTGCTAATGTTTCATAGGCTTATTCCATTTTGGCTGTTGTTCCCACGCTTGTACCAGGTATGATTGGGTAGATAAGATTTTGCAAGGGCAGTAGTTGTTTCAATGGATTTCAAAAACAACTACTGAACATGGGAGACAAAGCTAAAAATATTTCAATTGCTATTTGGTCTTATAGCTTACATAACTAAAAAACACCAAATGCAGACTCAATTGGCTCGACTTTATTTAAAGAAATATTGTCAGGGGGCTGATTATCCCCAAAGCCAAAGGCCCTATATGGGTAGGGATGTAGTTGGAGACCACATGCTCTGCAGCTTTTTTGGGCAAGCAGGAAGCTTCCTCAGAGGCTTACTTGGGTCCGCTGGGCACTGCTCTGTGACCCCCATGGCTGTAGATGACCTGGTGGGAAAAGTTGGCGGGACTCCAAAAGCCACTCAGAGCCCAAATCAGTCACTCTGCTCAAACCTCCATCATGATGAAAATTATTTAAATCTCGAGATCCCAAGAGAGAGCATAAGAAAGCCACACAAGGGACGGTCAACAGGGCTGACTGAGTGTGGAGGTTCTACTGGGTGTGTAGAACGAGGAGAGAGGTTCTTTGGCCCCAAAAGTGCTACTGAATAGAAGATCCAAATGGAGCTTTCAGGAAGGAGAATGCCACACGAGCGAAGCAACAGGATCTCTTTAAGTTGTTCTCCCTTTGTCTGGAACC